GTATAATTGAGAGTAAGCGTAAAAGATCAGACGTAATGAATATAATCAGGACGTGAATCTCCTGGTGTGACAGCTTCGTCCGCCGCCGCTACGTGTGAGAGAGAATCCTCGAGGGTTGGAGACTGAGATTTCGAAGTTTCATTGGATTTCGATCGCTTCGTGGAAGTCTCTTTCGAAATACAGCGAATGGATTCGTCTCGCTAGGAATCTTAAGGGTAATATCGTTCGAGAATCTTTGGGGGCAATAGAGATGAGCTGTCAGCGAATGAGGCAGCGAGATAAGAACGAAAAAAGGGTACACAAAGCCCCGGAAAACGCAAAGAACTAAAAAGGGGCGAGGAAGAATTGTGCAAAAGGGATGCACAACGGGCGAAAGCAAAAGGAAACTCTCAAGCTGGGCCGGTCGGGTGGGCGGAGTCACGGCGAAGCGCGAGGGTATAAAAACGGCTCCAGCCTTCCAACAGGCATGCACTAGCTCATCAGACGTCGCAGCGAAAACACGTGTATATCTCTATCGCTATCTCACATACAGCCACCATGAGGATACTCGCCGCTGCAATCCTCTGTGCCATCGCGGGGGCCGGTGAGTTTTTTTACAACACGATAAACAAACCAAAGATCAACAGATTTAGTAACAAGTTATAACAAGAAGTGTCGTGAACTGCATGAACGTTACTGTGGAGTGTATTTTTTTTTCTTAATTTGCTCGGGTAGTGAGTGTTTTTTTTCTCTCTCAAGTCGGATTCGGTTTGACGGCTCGGTTGGAAAAGAAGACCATCCATATGTGTTTTTTTTTTTCTCGTTCGATTCAGAAATCAAATAAAATAGAGTGCGGTTCATTAAAATCACATAATGCGCGTTGGAAGACCTCGTTAATCTATCAACGTCGCTAATTGGAATGGTCTAGGATTAAGCAAATCAAATTAAAAATTCATTACCCGAATCCAGCTTATGATAATCAATCTAAATCATGAGAAGGTTAAGATAGATAGTAGATAAGCTAAGCGGAAATAGTTGAAGCCGTTCGCAGGGAGAGTCCAAGTCGCCAAGGCAGGACAAGCACTCGAAGGAATGTCCTGCGTGACCTTTGGCGAGTTTCCTGTAAGGCCGGAGTGAAGGGGCGCCTTTGCTCTGACCTCAAACGGGAGGAGCCGCGAGCAGAGGGCCGGAGGGCGGGCGGGGAGGGAAAAGGAGGGAAGAGAAGGGAAAGGAAGGGAAGGGAAGAAGGACGCGTTCCTGGGGTGGAATGTGCATGTCCTCCGTGTCACCGAACCTTACCCTTTGCCGGGCCTTCCTCTCCCTCCCATGCGCTGTTTCATAAGTCTCTCTCTCCTCTCTCTTTCTTACTCTTTCTCAATCTTTCTTAATCTCTCTTACTTTCTCTCTCTCTCTCTCTCTCTCTCTCTCTCTCTCTCTCTCTCTCTCTCTCTCTCTCTCTCTCTCTCTCTCTCTCTCTCTCTCTCTCTCTCTCTCTCTCTCTCTCTCTCTCTCTCTCTCTCTCTCTCTCTCCTTTCTCTTTTCTTCCGCCTCCCCTTCCCTATCCCTCTCACTTTCATTTCACTCTCTCTCGACCTCTCCATCTCCCTTTCCTCACACCTCTCTCTCTCCTTTTCCCTCTCTCTCTCTCTCTCTCTCTCTCTCTCTCTCTCTCTCTCTCTCTCTCTCTCTCTCTCTCTCTCTCTCTCTCTCTCTCTCTCTCTCTATCTATATATATTTCTCTCGTCATCGCTCCCTCTCCCTTCGTCTCCGCCCCCCCCCCTTGCTGCTCCTCCCTCAGGAATTTCCTCACAAGGACTGAAGGACAACAGTCGACCTCGCTGCTCGATCCAAAAAAACAGAAATCGCCTCATTCGATTTTTTTTCTCTCGCTCTTTCGCCTTGAATATTCAGATCTTTGGAGTATTTCCTGCGCACTTCGATCACCTTGTCTTTCGAAGGACGAAGTGTGATTTATTCGTGTGTTTTTTTTCTTTTTTTTATCATTGTTCAGTCGAGGTTTGCTGGAATTTTTATATCAAGGATAAGATTAGAAAACAAGCGGTTAAGAGAATGGTGATTCGGTGAGTTCATTTTTTAAATAAATTTCGTAACGGTGCTTTGAGATTCATGTTGAAAATCGTCCATATTTTGTCTGTGCGCATTTATAGATAAATAGATAAATAGATATAGATAGATAGATATGTAGATGGATATATAGACAGATAGATTTTTGCATGTCTGTATATATATAACTTTGCGGATTAGATTACACATAAAATTAGCGTGTCCCAATCCAGAAGTTGTCTGCGCCCGACGGTTGGCATCGCACTTCATCAGACTCGATTTCATGTTGAAATCCTATGATTCTGGGAAATTTAAGCCAGACTTGGAGGGACCTGTTCACCGAGCTCCGAGTCCCCGCCCACTCGCCCTTACCTGGTCTCCCGTCCCTCTCTTCTGATCCTCGCTCTTCTGAATCTTCGCCCTTCTCCCTCTCTTCTGATCTTCGCCTCTCTTCTCG